AGGCTTTGCCATCTTCCTCGGAGCCCTTTGGGGAAACCAAGCTGAGCCCTTTTGGGGGGAGAAGTGGCACCCTTGTCAGAGACCTGGAGCCACTTACAAGACTTGCATAAGTCATAGGTCAGTGTTTTGATTTTTTTGCATGGGCCTCTCACGTTTCTAAATATCACTTCATATGTACAAATCTTATGTAATAGATGTGACAAATGAGTTACAAACTAAGTTTTGCACAGCCCTGTTGTAGAAGTAGATTTAAAATTAAATCATTAATTCAGAAATCTATCAAAAATCACATTAAGAGCAAAGAAGGATAAAATGAAGGTAGGTTTGCAATTGTCTTGTGGTAGGATACATGCTTTGCAAGTTTATATTTGCAGACATAGTTCATGACATTTCCAAGAAAGTGTATTGGAGACAGATTCTGGTAAAGCCCTGTAGCCAGCAATGAATTTAAAAGACCAATGTCCTGTATGGTCTTTAAGGCCCCTTCTACACTGCCAAAAACTCTAGATTATCAAAGTAGATAATCTACACTGCCATATAATCCAGCTCAAAACAGATAATCTGGATTTTATATCACAGTGTAGAAGAGGACTGGGACGATTCATAAAATTACACTGCTTGTAAACTTTGTTACTGCTGCAAAGCTACAGAGATTTCAAGACATATGGGAATGAGAGATAGAAAAGGAAATATTGAGATTATATATATATATATATATATATATATATATATATATATATATATATACACACCATGATACTTCTGTATCAGGAAACTAACAAAAAATACTAGACTGAGAAGATTCTGCACTTTGAGGTTTATTTTGTGCAAAAATTTTCACTTGACAGTTTCTGCATGAGCATTTTGGACAGAATAAGCCCCCAACTGCAACATTTTCTATGTAGAAAGGCATGTTCTTTTTCTTGTACAGAAAATGCTGCTTTAGGCACACAGAGCGTACACATGCACATTTTCCACAAAATATGTCATAAGCTTCAAATAGCCTGAAAACTGGACAGTTTTAGAAAATCTTCTTGCAGTGGGAAAAGAATTCCAATCATTGTTTATTGATTCCTTTGAGAACAAATTTAGTTAATAATTATATCTCAAGTGGAAATGTAATGCGTAGAAACCAATGCCAATGCAGGTGGGGTCACCAACATGTTTGAAACATGGTTCATTCCATTCAAATGCAGTTGTTGGAATTCTACGGAAACAGACAACAGTTAATGAAATATACAAGCCTTCCGCTTTCACTTGGCTTTGGAACTGCAAGATCCTTGGCACAAGTAGAAAAACAAGGAATAAAGATGCTACTTTTTAATTTGGGAAATCATTATCTCTAGGAATCTCCAGATCAATTTGTCTGCAAATACTCCAATCTGCAATAGTTAAATTCACAAATGTGGAGGAAACTGCATAGGACTGATAAGCCTCTGAAATATATAGATTACCTCAGGTCAAATGAGGAGCTTTCCTCTCCTAGCCTTTATATTCATCACTTCACTTTCTTGTTGTTTGGATTTATTGAGCTACACCTCTTTGATCTCTTTGCTTAATAAATCTGTAAACAGGTTGTTATTTCATAAAATGTTCAAAGGATTTGGGAGTTGACTTCTTCACTCCATATGGGACTTCAAAATTACTTTATTTCAAATAGATTCATTCTTGTTTTGATTATGGAGGAGGTTTCCATGATACATGCCTGCTTCCCTTTGACTGACAATATTGTATGAACACACCAGTTGATAACCTGGAGATAGATGAGATAGACAGAATTTCCATCTCTTATGACCTCATCAGATTGGGTACTTTTTGGTGGCATGCACCAGTTTGCTTATACTTTTGCTATGGAGCCTGCCAGCTCCCATCCCATAACAGTGGGGCTCTGTCACAAAAGTATAGATGAACCAGTGCATGCTGCCATTGTGGCAACATGGGAGGCTTCCTATATTGTAGTGGATCAACAAGGGCAAGCTGGGAGGCCGATGCTTCCCCCCCCCCCCATGGGATGGGGCCACAAGTAAGTTGGGCAATGCAGGGCATGGGTTTCCAAGTTTGTCGTGATGCCAAGTTTGTCGTGATGCATGTTGTTTCCAGTGGTCCATATGATGAGGTCAATAGTCTACAGAATAAATTGAGAGGATATTTTGTAGCTTGTCACCAATTAGTTCATTTGGACTTACTGCCAGATAAATGACTGCAGAATAGACCCTAGATGTCTTCACACCTTAAAATTTCTGCTGTTTTGCTAAATAAATCTAAAAAAAATCCTTTTCATGATTTTTTTTCTTCTTTTGTTGCTTTATAAGTAGGCAAAACTCACATTGATTATTTTGGTTGCCCTTTTCAGCACTGTATTGAGGTAAGCAATATCTTCTGAGACGGAGCATACAGTATTGCAAATAGACTCACACATTCACTTTATATAAAGCTGTTATAAAGCCAGTTTCCTTATTGATACTTCTCTTCTTAATAATCCTAAGTCTGGAATTCTCATTTTGTACTGCCAGTAATCTTCCAGTTTATTCATTAATGAGTAGAAGGTTCTGGTAAAATCAATTCTAAATCAGATCCCTGCTGAAGTACAAACATGGAGATAGTTGTTGAGGTCTGAAAATGAGAGCTGATTGTTTCAGACTTTTCAAATGTTTTAAGTTTTTTCCAGCCAGGGTGGTAATTATGTGGCCTCTGAATTTCCAGCAGTCCTGAACAACAATGCCAATGGTGAAGAATTCTGCAAGTCGCAGGTCAGCAACACATGGAGGACCACACAGTTCCCAACCCGCTTTACATCACATTGAGTTAGAATGTATACATAAATTTGCTGGATTAATAATAGTATTACATACAATATGATTTTATTGAAATTCTGAACTTTCTTTTCCAGTAAGCTGGATAGTTTCTAATGGCCCACATTAGAAACTATCCATTCTTATGCTTCTAATTAGCTCCATCCCACATTTTGTCAGCAAAATATTTAAATATTAACATGGGTGTCAGCATAGTGTGAAGATTTTTGGCACTTGGATCGTGGAGACCTTTTGTACTTGATGACAATGCTCTCTGGGGTCGTGTTTTAATTACATTTCTTAAAATTACTCAGCACTGTGAAAGGAGTACTAAGCTAGTTGGAAACATATCTGTCTTCTTCATTGCTAACTTTAGGAATGCAGTTGCAATATACACATTGGAAGTGGAACTCATTCAGACTGGGGCTAAAATGTAAAAGGCATCTGTGACAGTATTTCCATCACTATATTCTTCTCTTTTGTTGCATTGTTTCTTTCTACTACCTACAGCTAATGCCTTTATTTGTTTCACACTTATTAAGCTTGATAACAAAATCACCAGATTCATTTTCATTGCATTTCTCAGGATTTATTTATTGATTTATTGATTTATTTGCAGTATTTATATTCAACCCTTCTCACACTGCAGGGGACTCAGGGCAGATTACAATGCACATATACATGGTAAACATTCAATGCCATTTAGACATACAACATATATAAACAGACAAAGAAGCATTTAACATTCCAGCTTTCCAGCTTCATGAGGGTATGCTCTATTCCGGTCTCAGGGGGAGCTGTCACTTCACTGTCAACTTCTGACAGCAAGTCCTTTCATCAAGTACTTCCTCATTCTTCTGCACACTGCTGGAAGGTTTTATGTCATTGTGAATTAATTAAATTAGCCTCTCTGCATAAAGCGGTACCTAAATTTCCTATTTGACAGATGCAATTGTCTTTTGGACTGCATAGGTCGACAGCAAGCTAGACTATTAGTGGCTGGGAGCTTACTCTGATCCGGGCTGGCTTCTAACCCATGACTTCTCGATCAGTAGTGATTTAATGCAGCTGGCTACTAACTAGCTATGCCACAGCCTGGTCCATAACTCCTAACAACTGATAGATTGGCTGGGATTTCTGGGAGCTGAAGTCTAAAACACCTGGAGGAGCGCAGTTTGAGAAACACTGGACTGAAGTGTTATACATAAAACAGAAGACATACTTTAATCATGGACATTTGCCGAAGGTTCCTGGAAGTTTCTGAGCATTTTCTTGGCTAAAGCATATTATAAATCTTAAAAGGTACAGATTTCTGAGGCAAAAGATTTTAGGTAAATGCAAACTCCATAGATTTCTGGAAGACAAGGAAAATGTAAAGGGAGGCACTAAAGAGTGTCTTTCTCTGGTTGCATCTACTCTGTAGAATTAATGCAGTTTGACACAGCTTTAACTACCAAGGCTAGATCTATGGGAATCTGGAATTTAGAGTCTGGTGAGGCACCAGCACTATTTATTAGATAAGGCTAAAGACCCCGTGGCTCCTATGATTCAATAGCATGGAGTTTTGGCAGTTAAAGTGGTGTCAAACTGCATTAATTCTACAGTGTCAATGCACTCTCAGGCTCCCTTCAAAATTGCTGCTGCCCCTGACTGCTGCCATGCTATTTCACCTGTGAGTAATATCCCATTTTTTCATTGATGACCGAACACAACCTTAATAAGATACTTAAATCACGAAGGCAATTTAATTAAACTGCTGTAGTTAGCAATTGGAATAGATAAGGCTATGGTTCCCAAGAGAAGCATACAAGCTCACTCCCGTCCAACTGTCCCTGTTGTAATCTTTTTATATGAAACACATTCTCATTGTCTTGTCTAATAAGTGGAGGTATTCAGCACAATGTGACAGAAACGTCAAGGAAACTTTTGATGCACAGTGTTCCTTCTACCACAACAACAAGTCTGTGATTCAATTAAAAACCCGAGGCCTTTGGAATATTTGGCTACCATATAAGATTTACTTTGGTGGATTGCAGTGGGCGGACTGCAGTTACAAGATTGCATTTCTAAAGTATTTCTGGCTCGGTGGTCTCCCATAAAGCCACTGTGCTGTTTTCATTGTAAATTAGATATGGTGATATGTGCCAAGGATATTTTATAGCTTGTCACCAATTAGCTTTTCCTTTTTATTTCCCCTTCAATCCTTAGGTGGTGTTTGCATTGCTCAGTCTCTAAAAATCCCTCGTGAACCAAGACCAGGAGAATTTGATAAAATCATCAAGCGCTTGATGGAGACGCCAAATGCTCGGGCAGTGATCATGTTTGCCAATGAGGATGATATCAGGTGTGTATTTCCCTCCCACCCACCCTTTGCATAGGATGTGCATCTTGATAGAGTGATTTTTTTTGTTCAAGTCACACATACTGCTTGTCTTAATAAGGTTTGGCTTTCATGCTAATATAGTACCTCTTGCAATTTTAGATGGATGGAAGACAAAAGGTTGCTTTTAAACCTCATATAAGCTGTAGTGAAACTCAATAACTTCTAGGTTGCCATGAATGACAAAGTGGTGGCTTAGTAAGCATTGCTTGAATTACCCAGGAAAATATCCAAATTTGGGGGATTGGAGGAGAAACATTAGAAAAATCTAGTTTGTTCCTCGAAAGTGATGTGATCACTTGGAGAAAACGTAACCATCAATTTTTGTCTTTCTGAGATGGTGTCACAACAATTTTCTTTTCTCTACAAAAAGAAGTCCCTGTTGGGGTTCAGCCTGAGTTTGAACTTGAACCTGATTCTCTGTTTGTTCCTCCTGATGCTAATGAAAGTATATTTACTGATGCTAGTGGAAATGTACCTTTTGATGCCAATGCTCCTGAAATTAGTGAGGAAGAAACTGCTGTAGGTTTGGAAAATGCCAATGTTCCTGAAATTAGTGAGGAAGGAACTTCTGTAGATTTGGAAAATGAAAGTACCAGTGTTCATGAGAATGTTTCAGAGGGAGACCTTGAACTTTCCCTCCCTTCTGCACCTGTTAACTGTACTGACAATAGAAGGGGCCAAATTTGGGAAGACAGAAGTAAATCACTCAGTTTGTGTCGATCCTCCCGAATTCAAGAATTAAAAACATTGGCTTCAAAACAGAAGGGCGGTTCACGGAACCAATTCTTGCGTTTTAATTGCAACACGCCGAGCTGATTGTCTCAGTTCAGGCATCGTTTCAGAATTGATGAAGACCTTGGCAGTTCTCCCGGTTCCCTGGCCATAGTTTGGGAAGATTTCTAGGATATCAAGTACGGTTAGTGGATTGCTAACAGATTCCAGTATTTCCCAGTGAGGCTTTTGGTTTTGCTTTGTCCATTTAAATTCATGTTTGCTGATTTTGCTGTGGCTTTTGACTTGCATTTTTCCTTTATTTTGTAACCATTTTTCTTCAATAAAAACGGATTGTTTTTCACAGCCAAGTGTGGTGGATAGTTATCTTAGGGCCTCGTTCCCTGCTCTGGATTGCAACAGTCCCCTCATCTTTTTGCTTACCTATCAAGAAAGGACAAGTGTGATATGAACCATAGAAATGGTATGGAAGGATACAATAAAAGGAATATTTGTCTTCATGACTTTGAGGTCCTCTCTACATGGTCCTTATATCCCAGGATCTGATCCTAGGTTATCTGCTTTGAACTGGATTATATAAGGCCGTATCCAGACAGGCCTTTATCCCAGGAGAATCCGTGTTTAAAAATGTGGATTTTCCTGGGAGCCTGTCCACACCCACCCCAGAAAGTGCTCAAGATAACATCTGGAGACCTTACCCCCTCCCCACAAGCCCCTAGACCCCTTAGAAAAGTAATAAAAACTTACCCAGACTCCATTACAAGCCTCGTCTGGCTCTCCTGGTGCATAGAAATGATGCACCAGGAGAGTGGGGCGGGGAGAGCGATTTTCTTTCTTCCTCCCCCCCCCCCACACTCTCCTGGCATGCCACTTCTATACAAGCTAGCCAAAGCTTGTAACAGAGTCCAGGTAAATTTTTATTATTTTTCTAAGAGATCTGGGGGCTTGGGGGGGGGGGGAGGAGTTGGGTATTCCCACAGTTTACCAGGTTATTTAGCCTAGTAAACTGTGGGAATACTGTCTGGACTGCAGTATTCTGCAGCCCAGAACCGGAAATAATAGGTTTATCCCACACCTTCTAAGGAGGAGTGGAATAAACCCACAATCTAATTAATTCGCTACAAGCCAGGGTTTTCCTGGTTTGTATTGAATTAATTAAGGACTGTCCAGAGCATTGTCTGGACAGCCCCTTCTACATTGTGGTAGATACTGCAATAAAGGTCCTGTCTGGATAGGTCCTAAGTCTCCACTGACAGATAATCTGGGATTAAAAGATAATCTGGGATCAGATCCTGGTATATAAGGACAGTTTAGAAAGTGCCTGACATATGAATCAAATGTTCATGGGATAATGAAATCACTACTTCTTTATGGTTGCTCAGGGTAGAAACCTAACACCAGGATGACAAGGAAGGTTGAAGGGATGTTCCGCACATTTCCTTTGTCATCCAAACATTGCAAGGTCATTTTGGCAGACACTGTTCTGGAAAGTAGCAAAGGCAAGTGGACAAGAAGTTCTCCTTTGAATCAGGTTTTTATTCAAGATCTTTTGTGAGATCACTGAAAGAAGTTTGGGTGGCTTTTGAAAAGAAAACCACCTGTCATTTTAGTGGATTAGTATGAGTACACAATTTGTACTCAGTCCTGACTTGAAAGAACTTCACGTGCAACTCTTGTAACTTTTGGCACTAAAAAAATGAAGCAAATAAAAATGATAGATGGAAGCATGTTAAAAAGAGCAAGGAGGAAAGGCTGATGCAAATTACCATGTTACCATATTACCATATTAAAGATGTGAGTCTGTACCCTGTTTTTAGAAGGAAGATACGTCATTCTGTCATAAAGAATGTTTGATGAACTGGATAAAAGCAATTCATTTTATGGATCTTGTATGAGAAACAGTTTGCACTGTACATTTTAAAAGGACCACTTGTTTTTGTCTCTTGTTTTGTTTTACAGGAGGATATTGGAAGCAGCCAAGAAAGCTAATCAAAGTGGACATTTCCTTTGGATTGGCTCAGACAGCTGGGGGTCTAAAATCTCACCTGTTTATCAGCAAGAAGAGATTGCAGAAGGGGCAGTCACCATTTTGCCCAAAAGAGCTTCCATTGACGGTAGGATTATCCCATTGACTCTTGTGACAATGAAATACTAGAATCCTTAAAGTGCAAATTTTATATCACTTTGAGCTCAGTGCTGGAGGGAATTCGGTGTGTTAAGCCCTCTTTTATAGTATCCTGATGGCGACAGAGAGAGATTTTGAATTATACTTGTATTGTGTTTCCTTCAGCTGCATTATCTTTTAATTCCCTCATGTATAATTACTGAGTGAAATGCTTTCTGAAGCCAGTTGTCTGAAGCAGATTACATTGTGTTTCCAATTTATGACTTCTCTGAGACAAAGCAAAATAAAATGGAGTATCTACAGCCAGCTATATTTATAAGCTTTGTTTTCTGTATATGGGATGCCTGTCCTACCCAATGCCCTGCCCATGTTCTAATTCACTAATCACATCATTTCCTCCTTTCCTTGCCATGATCTTTTTTATGCTGTCACCTCTTCTCCATTGATAGTTTTCTTCTGACAATCTATTTCTCCACTCCTTATGTCCAGACATGGGACAAACCATCCTTGTGCACCTCCAAGTAACACAATGAATGTTGAAACCATTAGCATAAATATCAAACTGCTAAGATGATATCCTTTAACATTATTGTATATCTCTTTCATAATACACATCATTATATCATGTAAAATAGCCCTCCACAAGCACTTGTGTGTGGCTCTATGAGTAAGCCCTGGCAACATTTCAGACCTTCTCATTGGGTTGCCATCATGGTAGTAACCACCATGGCATTATTATAGATACACTTTCAACTCTCTCCTTTCAATATATGAAGATCTGAAATGCTGCCCTGGAGTATATGATATTAGAGGACAGTTCTTATGTGAGCATTAATTTTCCTTTACACAGAACCAAAAAAAATAAAAAAATGACTAGATAGAGCCAGAGTCAGTCACATCACCAGTTTGTAATTCTCATAGATGAACTGATTAGGACCTCACTTACACTCACTTAGGGCCCTTCCGCATAGCCCTATATCCCAGAATATCAAGGCAGAAAATCCCACAATATCTGCTTTGAACTGGGTTATCTGAGTCCACACTCAGATAATGTGGGATGTTCTGTCTTGATATTCTGGGATATAGGGCTGTGTGGAAGGGCCCTGAGACCAAAGAGCACAACTGCATTTTCATATAGATGGATAACATAGCTCAGTGGCAAAATGCCCAGTTAACATAATCAGATGATCAGCCAATGAGCGAGGTCCATTGTGAAATGATCGAGATCTTTTGCCACCCAGAATAGAGCAAGTCTTTGAGTTCCTTCACACAACGTGTGGTGCAGATAGACTATGCTTAAAATGGGATCTATCTCACATCAGTAGTTGAACCTTAATTTCCATGACAATCAATCCTTCGTCTAACAAATGTCTCCCAAAATCTAAATTGTTCATCATCATCACCACCACAACTACTGTTATTGCTAGTACTATTTCACCTCCTCTTCTTTTAAATAAACAACAGGTTTTGTGAATTGCATAAATGCACAATGTAAGATTTATATTCTCCCAACCCCCCCCCCCCCAAAATCAGTGTATTAGATAGTAAGAGCCATTTGTTTTGTATTACTGGGTTGGACCTTGACCTTGATTCATACATTTCCCCTTCTCCAGCATGACTATAAAAATGAGATTAGGAGCTTCCGCTTCTGTTTTAGATTAATCTTAGGTATCCCTAAGTCTGTTTGTGGAAACTAGGAAGGATTGCATGTACTTTGAAGGGAGATTATTAGGGAATAGCAGAGATCACCAGATAGGATTAGAAAATAACTCTTCCTGAGATTTAGAAAGCTTCTGTTAGTCTGAGTTGGTAGTACTAGACCAGATATATGAATTATCTGGCTCACTGAAACCTCATTGCATGTTTTGTTGAAGCAAGGCATCTTCTTCAACCATTTTTATTTTAGCTTGTTTAAAATAAGCCATAGTTAAGAGTGACTGTATAATTGTCTGAAGTGGGTGTAGTCATTTCAGAAGTGGAAGGCACAGAGAATATGACAAACCATGGTCTATAGTTGCTGGGATTTTCTTTTCTGTAGGCATGGCTTAGCTTCAACTGTGTGTTACTGAATGTGCAATCTGGTATTGATATAAAGGATTAATGTGACTCAAATATGTTTGATATTTTAAAAAAACCCAAGCCAACCCACGAGAATGTCACTTTCCTCAGTAAAATGAATTTCAATGCTTTTTCTTTATGTATGTATGTATTTTTAATCTAGGTTTCGACAGGTATTTTAGAAGCAGAACTCTGGCAAATAACAGAAGGAATGTGTGGTTTGCAGAATTCTGGGAAGAAAATTTTGGATGCAAGTTGGGTTCTCATGGAAAGAGAAATAGCAATATAAAGAAATGCACAGGTAACTACTTGAATGCATATCTTCTTCCCAAAGTGTTTGCTGCATCTTTTGAAAATATTTTATTAACAAATTACGCCTTCTTCAACAGGTGGTTAGTTACTTAAATCAATTTATGCTTGCTTCTACTGATGAAATCATCTAATCTCATGCATGTGTTCATTACATTTTGTAATGATGTGTTGACAATCAGGTTGGGAGAAGCAACTTGTAATTGCTGTAAGTCTGTTGCTTGTTATTTCATCATTTACATTTATCAGTACTAATATCTCGATTGAATTCCCAAATGTCTGTTCTTTTCTATTGCTTGCAGTAGGCTATACTTCACAGAATTGAATGCCACAGGAATGTGCTGACACAGGGCCCTTCCACACAGCCCTACATCCCAGAATATCAAGGCAGAAAATCCCACAAATATCTGCTTTGAATTGGGTTATCTGATTCCACACTCAGATAATGTGGGATTTCCTGCCTTGGTATTCTGGGATATAGGGCTGTGTTGAAGGGCCCTAAGGCTCCATATATCCTTCCATATAATTCAGTTACTGAATCCAGATTATCTGCTTTGAACCAGATTATATGGCAGTGTACACTCATATAATCCAGTTCAAAACAGATAATCTGAATTCATAAACTAGATTATATGACTTAGTTGTTTTTTGGATTGTGATCTTTACAATGCTAGCACAATCTAGCATGGAGGGTTTATCTGATTATATTTGTATTTTTAACATAATTTTGATTGATGGGATTTGACATAATTGCATATGTAGGAAAGCAATTAAAATGTAAGCACTGACTATTCTAGGATTTTCTGATGTATTAGATGACATTCCTAGTAGTTAAAACTCACAGGGAAACTGTAATTTTGTAAACTATAGATACAGTATAAAGTGAAAGCAGAGAAGGAAGACTAAGGACTTCATCCCATTTGGGCAGGAAAGCAGGTGGAACCGTCTTCTTTGCATGCCATTTCATGGGGTTCTGACATTAAAGAAGACCGAAATTTTACTCACTCCCATTACACAGGATTGCCACTTCCCCTTTCTAGCTCAAACATCTATTTAATTCTCATCACAGTGGCTCGCAATGTCTCCTCCCATTTCAAGGATACCAGCAGACTTTTAAAAACAGGCATCCTTTTTGAGACACCAATTTCCATGGGATCCTTTGCCCTGCCCAAAGCTCCTTACATGAAAGAAGGTAGGGCACTGTTTTTAAAACTCTTCTTACGATGGAATCCCTTGCCCTCTACAAAGTGCTGCACACCAGAGGAGGCAATGTTTCATCCCAGATCACAGTTTTAAAGCACCCCTTCCAGTGGGATCTTCCCCTCTTGTCGTTGAATTCCTCCCCTTGAGTAGACTAGCAGAATTTAAACCCACTTTAACACTTTTTCCCATGGAATGCTTCCTCCACTTTTAGCACTTTTTTTCAATTTGGTGGTCTCTCTCTAGAGGATATCAGTACATTTTCCAACACTTCTTTCAATGGGACCTACACTGTCTTTAAACCAAACCACAGAAGAATCATGCAGGGGTGCTTCATAAAATTGAATGTAGGAAAAATCCACTACTCCCTATCCCACAGACAGATAAGCATTTTAGGCATTTCTTCCTGCATGCAATGGAGTGAGGTCTATTTGTGGTAGACTTAGAATTCCTCATTTAAGAGATGGAGTCCCAAGTTGGGGAGATGAGCAATCACTGTGTCATTTGATGGGTTCCGTATTTGAACTGCCTTTGAAGTGTGTAGAAATGGAGGAGGGAAGCCATTTGATGAACTCCCTAAGTGAAATTAATGTCACTGTTAGAAACTTTCAGAGTATTAAACACAACATAGGTTTGTTTACTCTTTGCAGTTCATGTGTAGGACCAGACTTCTGCATTGTGTTAAGCATCATTTATTATTTGATTTTATGAAACATTGAGAACAGTGGTGTAGACTGGAGTAGGCAACGTCATTGATAGCAACTTGGATTATCTCTAACCATTGGCTATGCTAGGTAGAATTGATGGGAGTTGCAGTTAGTGGTCATCTGGTAAGACACAAGTTGCCCATCCCTGTAGATATATATATGAAATAACCTTATTGTGATCTGACCTGGGTTTTCTTTCTGAGATGATCCTAAGGACTTCATCTCATGATTTAAATTTTTGAGGATGAGCTGCTCTCATTAAAACCTCACTACAAATGTTAATTAAAATTATTCTTCCATGCATATCCTTTTCCTGTAAAGGAAGCAGCTTTATGTTTCTGAATGGTTAGCATTTTGTTTTAACTATTCTGCAAGCCTAATCAGCCTTTAAATGCCTATAATGACTGACTGCAGTGTTAAAAATAGAGATGGGAGAAGAGATTTCATGAGCCATATACAGCAAGTTCACATTTGCCTAATTTGTGCAGGTCTTGAACAAGCCATAATATTTGTTTCACTGGAAGACATTTATGGTGCTTTATAACAGATATAAAACCTGTATTTGATGGGTTTGTACTTCTTAGTTGCAATATTTAAATCTTTTCATTATGGTTGGCTTCCTCTCTTATGGAGTGTGAATTTTGAGGCTGAAAAATTAGAAAGAAATGTCTATCCCTTAATTGTTTATAAAGGCTTTCTTACTCTAAAGTAACCCTATCAACTTGAATCTAATGTAAAATACAGTAAATGGGTGTTTCTTTCTTGTGAATTGGATAATATCAACACACACCAGTCCACTATCCATCCATCCATCCTGTGGTGCATCTCCACATATATCTGGAAGAAAAGAATTAAAGAATTGAGCTGAACTGAAAGAAAGGATGTGCTGTGAAAGACTTTGGAAATTATTGCCATCTTAAATGCTGTATTATCCCATTAATGCAGCAGAGATTGTTTATGTGTCTGTTTCCTCAACCACACTGCTTGAGATTAGTGAACAAGATGTCTGTACTTTAATTACCAACAGTGGAATGATGCCATTACTTTATTGGAGATACTATTAGTAGTAATGGAGCTATAAGGTACAGCCACCATATGTGGTAACTAGGAGCACCCAGTACAAACTTATAGCATCATTTGAGGAACATGTTGTGCTTTTATGGGCAATTCATCAATGTCATATCCATGAACTGACTATGCATCAGAAGAATAAAGGAATACACCTGCTTTATTTCATATGCTGCTCATAAATCCCTAAAATGGTGTGATCCAGCCATGCTATAAACCATGACCACATGATATTATGCACTTCCTCATTCTACTATGTGTATATGTGAAGAGATAGGATAAATTGAATAGTAGCTACATAGCTGTCCTAGTTCCATTTCACATTGAACTTTCCATTATATCTTGGTGTCTGGACAAAAAACATCAACTGAGTGCTGCAAAGTATTTTTAATTATCTGCTATTGACAGTTAACTGAATAGACATGCTTTTTGTGTTTGGTATTTAGCTTCCTCAGCTTTTGTTATACTGAACACCAAAGGATTTGAGAGCAGTAATGGACTGCATTTATCTTTTTCATTTGATTCTCATGCTGGGCATTATCTCAGAATATTTATAACTTGTGTTAGATAAACTCAGCTGAACCAAGACTATCTGATGTAACAGTAAATCAACTTGCTATCATTAAAACATGTTCTAAGTAATGTATGGAGGAAAAGAATGTTCACTTTTGCCATTGAGATGATAGATCATCCCTCAGGTGGCATATTTATTGACTGCGAGAGCATGGGTCAAATCATATATTTCCCTGTTCAGATCTAGTCCAGGTGGTATAGTTGCAGACACACAGATCAAAAGGTGGGTTCCAGGTTTTTAAATGTCTATCTTTATGTGGCAGGCTGGTCTTTAGTGTGATATCTTTTGTCACTTCCTTCCCTTTCCCATTGGAACCTGCCTGGAACTGGCAGTGGAGGGATTTTCCACCTGCATAACCATCAAACAGATTGTTTAGGGGTTGTTTTTTATATTTATATGCATCTGCACTTTTCTTTGAAAACATACATAGTAATTTGTAAGGGGCCTTAAAGGCAACATCACAACAATGGACAAGGCAAAGAGCATGGAGTACAATCAATGCAAAGCTGGCAGGACCAAAAGGAAAATTTTTGGATCTATAGATTTAAAACACTAATGCCACATGCCTCAGCTTAGAGAATATTACCATCGCCTACTAAAGAATGATAGAAATAGAATGCTCTAATCTGCCAGCTTGTATGTAGATCAGTTTTATCTTTAGCAACTGAAGAAGGAGGAAGTTGAAATGTTTTCCTAATGTTATATTTTTCACAATTATTTGTTAATTTCATCTATCAATCATCTATTTATCTTGTTAGCCTGTCTGTTTGTAGTAATAGGTAAAGGTTCCCCCCTGACATTAAGTGCAGTCATGTCTGACTCTGGGGGTTGGTGCTCATCTCCATTTCTAAGCCGAAGAACCAGCATTGTCCGTAGACACCTCCAAGGTCATGTGGCTGGCACTACTGCATGGAGCACTGTTACCTTCCCGCTGAAGTGGTACCTATTGATCTACTCACATTTGCATGTTTTCAAACTGTTAGGTTGGCAGAAGCTGGGGCTGACAGCAGGAGCTCATGCTGCTCCCCAGATTCAAACCTGTGACCTTTTGATCAACAAGTTCAGTAGCTCAGTGCTTTAACCCACTGCACCACCGGGTAATACCTGGGGGCTTTCGAGGCCTGACATTTTTCCATACAAATGTTAAAAATATAATGAAACTTTAAATAAAGTTAAAAACAAGTAATGACACATGAACAACAAATATAACAACATATGATATAAAAAAAACCCTTGGACTAATCTACCCGGGATGCTTTTCTCCAGGGTCAGTCTGTTCTGGAATGGCTGTTCCAGGGACTCCAATGTTGTGCTTTGCACGGAGTGTTTGTTCATAGTCCTAAGTTGCAGGGACTTTGCAGATAAGTGGCTCCTTTGTCTGCATTCATAGGGCAAGCCACTTGTCAATAATAGTTAGGATCCCTGGTCCTGCCCCTCTCTGTT